CTAGCTACCCTTTTTCTAACATTGCACACAAAGCTCCCATGTCTTCTGCAGCCCTTTCCTCGGGGACCATCTGATTGGCCCATAGACATCTAGCAGCTATTGCATAATCTTGCTTTTAATTTAATCTTTTCAACCAAAATCAAGACAGTGGCAAGCAAGAAATCCACTCACATATCTTTGTTTCAGAGAGATGATCTTCTTCTGTTGGTGTACTGACCAGGGGCCTATTACCCTGGTTCCAGTAGAAATTTTCCCAACATGAACACACAACTGTGTTTTGTTATCTTCAGTGAATATACTTTGGAAGGCAGATTACAGACTATTTTGGAGAAAGAAGATGTTCGTTCATAATTTTACATTGGAAAACTGCTGGTTGAGAGTTGAAAAAAAAAGTGCTCACTTTTGCATATTAAAACACTCAGATTAAAGTATTAATGTGAAAAAATGAAGTATAATCTTTAGGTAGCAAGAAAATACTGCTACAAATGGTCATTTCTGTTGTCTAGAATCTTTCCTAAGAAATTATGTGTGGCTGTTCCTGTCACAATGTGAAGCTGTAAAACCAGCATTTAACTGGAACTTTATAGAATCATACTTATGTATTCTGGACCTTTTAAAACTATATTTAAAATATGAGAAAGACATTGTTTTATGCTAGCTATATCTTTACGATTGTAGGGGTTTCTAGTTTTGGTTTTGGGCTTTTTCGTTTTTTTGGGTTTTGTTTTTCTTTTTAAAGCTTTGAATCCCTCATAGCATTCACAACAAATTCAGCTTGATTTTAACCTTCTGCAGTGACTACTGCAAAGCTTCTTAACTTTTACACTATAATGCAGTCAATGTATTTATAGTTCTTGAAAATGTCACATGGCAATGTTATGCCACGGACAGCACATCTCAGAGACTCCTTAAGATGTCTGCATTGTTGTATTCTATTTGTAGAGGCATTTTTGTCAGCAGCAATGAAGAAACCGAGCTGCTACTGCAGCTCTTTCAATAACATTCAAGCTTATAGTTGACCCAAGGGGCTCACATTATGACATCCATATTTAATTTAACAATAAATCATATTTTCATGGACTACAGTATTGCATTATAACCTCACTGTTTTATGTGCATGGGAATGCAGCAAAAGCAGGGTAGTAGGTATCTACAACACAGGTTAAATGGTTAGTTCATGAGAGCAAGGTCAAAGTGTACAGTGACGACAATATATAAAAGGTTTTATAACAACTCTTAGAAGTCTGAGGGAAAAAAGGACAAAAAAAGCTGTCCAGAAGGGACTGCATTTACCATAAGGTGCATTTTTTTCAATCCTCTTAACTGCACCACCTTGCTTACTGTCAGTTTTAGTTCTGCTCTGCACTTCCCATTGCAGTCAGCATTCTCTGTATCTCATTTTCTCTTCTGCTTCATTCAAGCATATTTAAGGAGAAAATTAACACCATCTGAATCTTAAGCTTTACCCATCCTTTTCTCCTTGCAATAATTTCTCCTATTTGCCCTGCATTTTTTACTGTTGACCTTCTAGCTGACTGCAAATTAAATGTTCATATGTTTTCTATTTACTCCCAAATCTAGTCCTTCTTGTTCACATTTATTCTTGCTCATCTCTCTCTTATTTGCCTCTGCCTGTATCACATCACATCATCCTCAACTTCTTTAGTTTCTATTCCTACTAACTTCAACTGTCTTTCAGTGCCTATTTCTTGCAGCCTTCTGCAACCTAAAATTCATTTAATTCATTCTTTCCTCCCCATCAGCATTATTAATAATCTTCTACCAGCCAGATTACAGAATAACTTCGTTGCTCTTCTCCATCAGCTGCCTCTGGCAATAGTTTACCCACTATTTGCACTGCTCTCCTCCATAGACTTTATGAAACTCTATTATCTCTTTTAGAAGGTTCCACTTTTCAAAACTAAGTAGTTTCAATTACCTTTTTATTGGCAGCCTTGATCTTTGGTCTAGATGTCATCCTTAACATACATTACAAAAATTAAGGAAGAGCAACTGTAGCAAAAAACATTTCACTACTCTGATGCATGTTCTCTTTTTACCTCTCATCCAGCCTTCTGTTCGTCATCTCTTCATGCATTGTATCTAAATTAGATTTTCAGTTCCTTGGGGTAAGAAGACATCATTTTCATTTATCTGTAAAGCACCATGCATGCTTATGGCTCTGTAGAGATGCTAAATGTGTATATCCACATTTATTAAAATATTGATGCTTTTATCTATTCATATAGTGCAGAGGCAACATGGCAGCAGTTGTATCCATTTAAAAACTATTTTCCATCTATAATAGCTATAATGTGATATATTTATAGTAGCTGCATGCTGTTCACTCTCTTTTTCCTAGTTCATACTTATGTTGCTCTTTCTGGTCTTATTAACTAACACTGCCCAAAAAATAAAAATCTCAATTTTCTCTGACAGCATCAAAATATTTTTCTAAAAATAACATACAGTGGTTTTATTACTCATCCATACTGTGTGCTCACAGTTTTAGTGGGTGAAGGTTGCTGTACCAACTCAAGACTGCTCCTGTCATCCAAAATCTTGTAATTTAAATAGTCCTGATGATAGCAAAAATTTTAGGCATTTTGGATGCCAGCATTCTTGCTACCTACCTTCAGAGGCATTGAAGGATCTGATTTTCAGAGCACTAGAGCACAGAACTTTCTAAACACAAGGTCTTGAAAAGGGAAGCTCCTTATTATTTTGAAAATTTTGGCTGACAAAATTAACATAGTTAATGCAAGCATGTATTCTAAAAGCTAGGCGGGTTTTTAATGCAAAAAGATAAAATGAGTATACTATCAATCCAATTATACCATCTTAAAATATTTCTATTAACAAGTGCAGTAGCAGGCTGTAGATATACTCTCCTTTGTAGTCAAGCATATTTCTTTATTGGTTAGACAAAAAAGTAAGTAGGCATGCCCAAATCCCACAGCAAAATCCACACAGGGCACTGTCATGACCCAGAGCTCATTGCATGAATGAGCCTGTACTAACCATTTCAAAAGTTAGCTCAAAAGATAAGGAATTATTGTAGAGCAGACACTGTATGCAGAGCAATTAAACTGTTCTGCTTCACATAACGCCTAATAAATGGTAACGCATTTAAGCATTGAATAAAGTGAACATCTTCGAATATCCTGCTTTGCAGGATATCTGAGCTGAAAACTTGCTCATTTGCGGGTCAGTACATAGGGAGTGGTCTTAACAAACTGTTTATGCAGAGTAGCAGGAGAGAAGTTACATGGGGATAATGTTACTGGCATTTCTTCATAAAATGCCTCACAGGTGATGGATTTAATATTTATATTATCTTTGCATACCGAGATCTGTTTCAACCAGCATTTCACTGTGCTTTTTACTGGATAAAATGATCAACATCAATTCAACTTAATGTCAGACCGCATATATAACTAAACCTGTATAAGGCTGCACTGATTACATTCAGAACACACACATGTTTAAAAGCTTTGTTGGACTGAACAAATGGCAAAGGTTCATTTTACCCAACTTTTGACGTCTCCCATATAGGCATCTACCTCAGAGCTAGTCCCCTTCATTTCCTCACTATGCATGAAGAGAACTGTGTCAATAAATGCACTAAGGTGTGATTCATCAGACCTACTCTAAATGTTTACTTCAGGATAAGCCATTGTACACTGTAAAACAACTAGATTTGGTAAATGAATCCCATTTCATTAAACAGTGAGAATCGAATGTTTATTCATTTCTTTACATCTTCAGAGAAAGTCAATTCCAGATATGTTGTCCACAGCCTTATAAGTAAACAAAACAGTCAACGGCCTGACTCAAACACCATCCCTCAATAGTCTGCAGACCTTAATTTTTACTCGTTGATGAAACTGCTGCCCGATGCCAACTATTACTCTCCAGACATGGCTTGGGGCCAGATATGGCACAGCTCACGAAGTGCTCTCCAAAGGCAGCTAGAAGATTGTCTGCCTGCTTCAGATAGAAGCAGGCCCTACCAGTTGGTTTCAGTGCCAGAAAATGGTCCTTTGCACCTTCTACTTGAAGAAAAAAATTTAATTGGCATGGATGACAAGTCTAAATTGCAACTTTACATGAAATGGAAGTAGATAGAAAGGTAGCTATTAAATGAACATTTTCATGGAAGTAAGGATAAAATAAAGAATATAAACATAGCAAAAGTAAAAAAGAAGCACAAAGATGGAAGAATGACTACAAAAAACCTATTAAACTATGATATGACATCCATGATTGTGATCACTTTGGACAAATGTAGCAGGGAGACTAGCTATTATCTAAATGAACTGGCATTTTAAAATACAGTTCACTCAATACATAACGAGAAGATCTACTCCCTGTAAATTACCTCAGAGAATACTACCAACAGAAGGAAGGTAGGGAACAAATTTCCAGAAGATTGGAATTTGGACCAACTTTGTTTCTATCAAAACTAATGGTAAAGCATCTTCTGAAAAAAAGAGCTTCACTGATGCTGAACACTTTTGGCCATCCTGACATATAGGCAGAAGCTGAGCTATAATGACTTAATAGCCTTGTAAAGGAATGAATTATTACAGGGACCTCATTGTGTATGGGAGGTTGTATTCTGTAAGGATATTATGAGATGTAATGGTCAGGTTTTCAGGTGCACTCAACTTTACATCCTTCACAATGAGAAGTATGAACAATGAACGCTTTTGAAGATCAATGTAGTTGCTTTGCTCAACAAAGAACTATGGCCCTACAAAACTGAGTTTAGAAATAATGTATGTATGGAGCACCTTTTTATTTGTTTCCACCCCAGGATGGGGGAAGCTGGATTAAAACTACTTGCTTTCCTTCCAGCTAAACATTTTTTTTTCCTAATCACATCACTTTATTCCAATTTATGTGAGTTTTAACTTCAGGAATCATTGGTTATTGCTGAATGCAAATAAGCACGAAGTAAAATTATATTAGGTTTGCACAACTGATCTTTCATCATTTTAAATGGAACCTTTTAAAATTTCCTGTAAAATCAGCCTGAAATACTCCCATCGTTGACTGTCATCAAGTAGAGCAGGGTCACTTTGGGAAAACCCCTTCACAGTGATGTAAATTATAGGGTTATTATATGTATCCTAGAACAAGAGAGCAGAAGTTTTATTCAGAACAGATGTAAGAAAGCCCATAAAATCAGATGCATTACCCTCTATCTTTTCTAAGCTACAAACTAAAACTAGTTTTCATCAAATTGCACTGACCCTATTAACTTAATTTTCCATGAGCTGACCTTTTATGACTAACAATGGAAAAGCAAAACTGTGCAAATATCCATGAAGACAGTGAAATGACTTATTTTAATGAGAAGACTAAAATATCTTTCCTGCATTAGCATCTGCTTATTGTCACTGCTCCTTAACCCCTTGGTACTGGCAGCCACCACATGTCCCATTGCCAGGAGTAGACGCATGCCAGGAAAGCCTTACTGCTGGCATCAGAAAGATCATTTCTGGAGTTCAAAAGATGATATAACACTGGTGTGTCATTTCAAACTGTAAAATAGCTATCACGTACAAAGGCAATACGAAAATACTAAGGCTTCTACTCTTTATAGCCAGCATGCAAAAATTAAATTAAGAATCCCAAGGTGACTTGTTTATTTATATCTTGTACAATGTCTTATGCCATCCAGATGGGCTCCTCAAAAAAAAACCCAAATCACCACTATTACTCATTGGATTCTCAGATACCCTCTCTGGCCAGCTAATAGTGGTAAAATAGTCCTGTTAGCCTTAGGTCATTCCTTGATATAACACAGAAGTCAATGAAAACCCCATGGTACTACAGCCAGGCATAAAATCCCAGTAGCAACAGGCCAAGAAGAATCCATTATTTGCTCGGCTTCACAGTCCATTGAAACACTTAGCCTCTTGCCTGCATTTTCTTCATCTTAAGTTTAACAGTTCAGGGCAAAGAAGTCAGCAATACCCATGATCATAATTTTTTCCTCTTTAGTGAATTCCAGAAGCCTTGATGATAAGTAACCCTGCTTTGAAGGCATTGCAAAAATCCAGGACTTCATGATGGCTGGATATTCACCATCAGTAAATACTGTCCTGACAAACCCATCTAAGGTAAAGGGCAGGTACCCTTTAGTTGCTTTTTGATCTGCTACAGAATTCACAGAGGTTCTATCAATCTGAGTTCAGAGCTATCAACACAAGTCCACGTTGTTTTCTCCAAATATCTTATCACAACTGTGTCAGGCTTTAGCATGGGCTTTTATCACATTATAAGCTGCCTTGTAAGCTCTGGTACCAATGCTGGGGCTATACTTTTTTCACAACCACCTATAGCAACAACATAAGGCTCATTAATAGTGTTCACTCAGCCTCCAGATGTTCTGAAGTAATGCTTTGAATGAATATCGAAGGTCTCAATGATCTTTTCAGATCTCCAGCCACCTTCATCTTCTAAGGACTGAGGTAAGCCAAAGTGATACAGTGAGCAGGATGCCATTTCCCAGGTTAGTAATGATTTTGCTATAATAATTGACTCCTGAAAATATTAAAAGAGACGAAAAAGGGCTAACTTAATCACTTTATTACATTTTAACACATGAAGAAACCTCACTGCACATTTTCTCTGTTAAGAGATGCAAATATTTCCTCTCAACTGCATGCTGACTACTGTTACAAGACCACAGATTTGGCAAAAATGCTCAGCACACAAAATCTTCCAACTAGGCACATAAAATGAAACGAGGATGCAAATTTTCAAAATAGATCAGTGGACAGCAACTCCCCAGGAGAAACATAATTCTGATGGGTGCTGGTCACATGAAAATATAATCCTTTCATTTAAATGCCTGAATGGTAGCCTGGCTGCATGTACAAGATGAAAGCGTGTTGGAAAAATCCTGACACTTGAAAGCCTGACAGGTAGATTTGTTCTAATGAAAGCATTTCTCTCCTTGAGAACTGTGTCTTTTAAAAAGTTTCGTGCCACACTCAGCAAGGTAACCAAGCTGATCTTTTACGATTTGGACTTGGTTAGCTGGGTGAGCTGTTTTCTCTAGACTGTTCCATTCTCCTTCACTGTCTGTACCAGCATCAAGGCAGAGAAGATACTATCAATGCCTTCAATATTTTGCAACAGTGTGAATTCAATGGTTCCCTCATTAGCTGGGGTGTCTTACCAGATCTACATAACATTTAAGGCTTTTCATTGGGCTCTAATAGATTCTAGATGGAGTTTAGGGCACTGGTCTCTTTAGCCACCAACTTGAATGGCTTAGCAATAGTTTACCCAAGAAACCAACTCTCTTCCTTTTACGCTGCCACTGCTGCAGACTGTTCAGTTCCTCTAACTGCAAGAAGGAATTAGCTCATCTCTCTAAAAGCTCATGACTTCCAACCTTTCTCATACCCCCTTGATAAGACAGAGATCAACTTTAATTTCCTGGATGTGTTGTTAAAGCTGGCCAGTACTGGGGATGTATTTCTAGAGGCTTAAAAGGAATTCACCTTCTGTTCAGACTTAGCAGTGGCTGACATGAATATGTTTCCTAAAGGACTATTTTTATGCTGCTGAGAGGTCACTGTAAGTTTAAATATCAGGATACCTTAAGCTCTTATATAGGCATTTTTAATTTTGCTTACATCCAAACACAACTACATTGCTTTTAAGCCTTCTGAAAACACTAGATATTGCAAAACACATCATAAGCTCTGGTTCAAAGAGTATCAATTAGCTTGTTCTTTTACTTGAACTATCTGGTTTAGTGCAGTAATTGGAAAAGGCCAACAGTGGCCTTGAATTATTACTTGTTAAGCTAAGAGGCTCCAGCCAGGAATAGGTCTCCATCATGCTGGTGGAATGTAGAAATCAGTCAGCCTTTGCTTCAGAGACAGGCTAAATACAACAGTGTGTTTAAGAAGCTTAGAAACCTAAAATTCATAAAAATGTTGTGGAACTTAGACTACCACATATCCTAACAAGACATAGGTGCTTATGAAACGTCTATCCCAAGACCTTGCTGTATTGAAACCCAGAACTGAGAAAGGTCTAAAGAAGTTGAGACCACAGCAGAAAGGAGGAGGAGGAGGAAGACTAAATTGCAAAGGTTAACAAAATGTATGCTTAGGAGGTTATGTATGGTTTAGATTATTATTCTTAACAGTTTCTGAACCAGAGAAAAGCAGGAAACTTGTTCATTAGTAAATATGACTGTACTATATCGTACTATAACTTCCCTGGCATTTTCAGGTTCAGCTTGCTGTGTATTGGTATTTAAAAATGCCAACACAGAACCCCATACTACCTTTTTCTTAAAAGGACAGTATTAGACTTCAAATTATCCTAACTTCGAATGACTGATGGTAAGGATTTCCATCGAATGACTTTTTTAAGACAACATTTACTGCAGCAATCAATTATGAACCCCAGATTTAGATAGTGCCTTCTCATAAACAAACAGGTGCATACACATCCTTTAGCACAGCAAGACTCAATAAGTTTGTTTACAAAGTAATTCACAATAAATCTCACAGATAGTTTGCTTTTCCTTCTGAATACAGCACCAGAAAAACACATTAAATTCTGAGGAAATATGTGCCTGTGCCTGAGAATGCACCCATGTAAAAGAGAAAGGAATAAAACAGAATTTTGAATTTTGAAAAGAAAATTCTTGCAATTTGCAAGAGCAATTAGGAGCAAATACAGCTTGTTACTGTTACTTCTGAACAGGGACCTATTTCACTTCAGTGGGACTGGGTGTGTGTTAATTGTTTGCTGGTGGGACTGCAAGGTTTACTACATAAGCTTAAACTGGGAAAAAAGAAATCCTTTGCTGGTACAGAATCCTGTTCTACCATATTGAGAGTAATGCTTGCCTATAAGACACTAGCATTTCCCATTCTAATTTTCAGATTATAAATTACTTAGTACAATTTATAACATTTAAGCACAACCAGCTATCATTCATTTTTTACATCTCAGTTAAACACCAATATTGGAAAAGATTTATGGTTTGTTTTAGGAAATGAAGAGAAATAGAACTGCATCCCTGAAAAATGTAAATGTCAAGTCAAATTTCCAGATTGTCTCATACCTTCCAGAATAGCCTGATCTAGTTTCTATAGCTGTATCTGTGGGTCAGCTAGGAGCAGAAATACAGAAGAAAATGTTCTTCTGAGAAAGTGTATATAAGGGTATTGTGGAGACACCCCAAAATTTTGGGATTACAGACATTAAGGAGCATTTTGTCACTGGAAACTGAAGGATTGTTCTTTTCTCCTTTCTGTTGTCTTCTCTCCCCATCCTGATTCCCTACCTTCATGCTGAAGTGAGGCATAACATCAAACTCTCCCAGACTCAATACCCCCATGTCTACTACTTCTGTCTCCCTCCACATTGACACCTAGTGTTTAGCGCCTAATTTATTCTGGTCAGGGCACCTTCTAGGGTAAAAACAATTGTACAAAAATACATGATATAAGTTTTAACCTAAAACTTGAGATGTCTTAGGAAATACACCTTCAACATTGCTGCTTTAAAAGACCCTACCCCCACCGAGTTAGAAACAGAAAGGTTTTAAAGGTTTTCAAATGTCCTACATCTTAGGTGTGAAATTGGTAGTGAATCAGTTGGTGTGAATGATTTTATTTGAAAGGACATTGCTCTAAGCTTTCTAATTCTTCACATGCTCTTTGTAAAAATGTTTATATAGAAGATGATGGCCTTTCCATGCTATGCAGTTACAATTGCTTCAACAGATCACTGCACAAGAGAAGTGAACTCCTGCCTAATGAAAGCTGGCCTACTTGGAGTTCCTCCAATGCCCTTTTGCTAAATGTAAAGTTCATAATATTAATCAGGCAACTGCTTATACTGGGGATCAAGTGAACATTTTCTGAAATTACAGCTGAGTTTTGTCAAAATGTTAGCTTTCCTTACCAAGTGCATTCAGAATGTCTGCTTGCTATCTCCCACTCTGATGTCTAAATAACAAAGCCCGCTCAGTAGGCAGCTCTGTGGCGTTGTACAGTGCCTGCAGCCCCAGCTGAAGGAATATCAGTACAGGAAAGAAACCACAAGGACTCAGCCAAATTTAAATTCAACACGCCACAAAAAGCGTTCCTAGGGAAGGGCAAGCTATGCCAGTGAAAGTGGGCCACGTATTGTAAATTTTGGTGGCAAAAGGAAGGCTTCCATTCAAGCCTCTCCAGGATGCTGGCACTGTTTTTGCAGTCATGCTCTGCAGGGGAAAATGGCTGGTTGGTCTGTTTACAGCAGATTCACCAGCCCCCCCTTTCTGAATTCTTGAAACAAAGGCTCCTCCACTCTCTGGTGAAAACCGTAATCTGCAGGATGCAGAGGACAGACTGCTGCCTATTGAACAGCCAAACTCTACATGACCAAAATTCTGCAGAAAAATATTGGTTTTGCTGGTATCTTCCCAGTACAGATCAGGATAACCTGAAGAGCATTTTCTAAGAAATCCTTTCCCTTTGTAGCCTTCCACCTTTGCAATCTTCAAACCAGTGGAAGAAAAGAATTGCCAAGGCAAATAGTGCCCCAAAAGTACAAAGATATATATCTTCTTGGTAGAACTGAGATTCAGAAGAGTAGGAGACAGAATTGAGATTCAGAGGTTCATCCAAATCTACTTTGCTTTTTTCTCCTTGGAACATTATCCTCCCAGCATATAAGAGACCTCAGCCAACCACTTTGATTCTCCCATACTTTCTGGTTCAGCCTCAGTTGCTTTTGTTCTTCACAGTTCTCTTTATTTCTTCTTTCTTCCATTCCCTATGTTCTGCAGGCAAAGCTGCCATTTCCTATCTTTTCCTAGTAAGTCACCTTGATCTTTCCCCCAGTCCATACCAATGGAATTAAAATAAACAAATCAGAAGTGTAACAAATTTTATATCCGACTTTTAGCAATCTGACCAGCTTGTTATGTGTTGTATTCCTTTTCACTTTTACACTGTCTGCTGAGATTGTGAAAACTCTTCTCTTCAGAGCAGGGACTGTCTTTTGTTTGTCAGAGAACTAAGTAGAGTTCCTAGCTGAGCCTGAAGAATCCTCTCTAATTTGCTAAAGAAAATATCTGGGAAAAGTGTGTCCCTCTTAGTGTAAAATAGTTGATGTGAAGTTCAGTACACCAGAGGATACTGATAAACTATCTAAATGCACTTGCCAAATAACATACTTGTCTATTGTAAGCCATCCAAAAATATCCTCATGGCTAGGATCCCTGTAAGTATAAACATTCTGATGAAGCAAAATGATTTAGAGTTACAATTAAAAAAACTGAAGTAAGCAAAAAGATACATAGGAAACATAATACTAATCCTATCCCAAAAGATTGTGCTATCCAAGGGGATCTGGAATATTAATTAGTAAGTTGTTGCAAACCTATAAAAAATCATCCCATAATTACTCTGAAAAAAGTTGCAATTTCAAAGCTGCACTGCAGAATAGCATACTGGATTAATTATGCCAGACTGCAGCAATAACCTTGAATTAAAGCTGCAACCTTCTATTTTTAAGAAACAATTGCCTTTCTGGTTGATGAAACCTGTCGTCCCATCAGGTAACAGACGTGACCAGGAAAGAGAAAAGCGATAATGAGTCAATCCAAGCTGTTTGATACATTTCAAATCTTCCTCCCACAGAGTGTAGCTGCCACAAGCTACATCACCAGTCTGGTTCTTGAAAACTTGATCTCCTCCCTGATGGGTGAATGTGTCCCAGACATTAGGGCCCTCTCCATCTGCATTCCAGCCTTCTGCTTGAAAAACAAAACTTGGTCGTTATACTTTTGGCATCAAAAGACATATGTTGAACGTAAATATTTAACACAAAGTAGGCACAAACCCCTCAAAATCCTATGAGCAAAATGAGCAGTATTCCCTCCCCTCTCCTTACATCATTTAAAGTAAGTTAGGAACTTTCAAGCATTAGTATATATTTGCATTAGGTTTTGCATTTATTCATACTTTTGCTTGCTGCTAATTATTTGAAAATCCTGTTTTAAAAAGCATTCAGAGTTCTGACACTCTTCATACTTCCTCAGCCGAAAATCAGATGTTTGCAACTCTTGAGATATTACAGGTTTTCACAAAGGGCATTTTCTAATGCAACTTCCATCCATAAATGTAAAAGATCAGTCCATATCAAAGAAAGCCTTTAGGGCATGAGAAATACATTCAACAAATAGGCACTTATGGCTTTCTGGATGTCCTTTGAAAATCCTGACAGTCTGTTAAAAAGAAAGGAATGCCATTATGAGCCATGGCCCTAGGCATATACAAGTTGAATTAATAACACAGCTCTGCAAAACTTCTGCTTTTTCCTTAGCCAAACGTTCACACAAATGAATTCTGGATGCTTTAAATCCCTGCACCATTTTCTTCACTTTCATAGTTTTGGGAAATTTCTTTGTGATCCAAAACTGAGATAGACAGATTACCTCTAAAATATTAAAAATTTAACTGTTTGAAATTACACAGTACTAACATTACATAGTATTTAAACCAAATAAATGCACCTTGCTTCATGACAAGCTTCTTTGTCTTTCCAGAGCAATGCTGTAACTGAGGCAAACATTTCATTTTTAATGTGGAGAGCTTTGTAAATTACACCCCTGCAAAGTCTGATTTTATCATAAAATCCCAAATAACCCCAAAATGGCCAACCTCCTTTACCAGCAAGATGTTTCAGAGCCCCAGTGAATGCACCGTTCCAGGGTTACTCTTTAAAAACTAAAATGACATTGTGTGTTAAAATCATGTATAAATTAAATATCAGTTGGGTTGTAAGATGGATAACTATATAATAGCTACATATCAATCCTCAATAAAAGTGTTTTAATAATCAATTAGTATCATAGAAATTAGAGATGGAGAAGAACTATTAGGAGGTCATTGAGTCCATCCCCTGCCAACGCAAGATTGCTCCCTTAAGTATATTCAGTACTTAATACACATCTGTCTTATTAAATCTAAGTTTAATGCAAGGTTAAGCATATTGAAGACACTTAATTTAAAGCATTACTAAAATTTGTAATATCATTTCTATAACCTAGCTTTTCAAAGATCATTGTCACATTTCATGTTCTTTACAGAATTTTATTGCAGCACACGAACACCGATACATCTACATTTGGTTGGTCAGTAAATTAAACGCTTATATGGGACAACCTTCAAAGTAGGTCAAATTTTAGATCCAGACAGTTTGAGTTTCTCTTAATCTCGGATTTCATCACAGACTTTGTACTCTGTCTGCATACTCCTTGGAAAAATGTAGTCCTAAAAGTTTTCTATATCCTGCTTCTGATTTCAAATATGCCTGCTGAAATAAACAGTCATTTTGGAGAAGTGCAGGAAATAACAAATAACAGTAATTCTTTGGTGGTACCTAGAATTTAGAAGCCTTTAAGAGCAGGCTTCCTGCACGATATCAATATGACATAGCTCCTTTTTCACTACAGTGGGAGTGAAGGGAAGTCAAAAGCTGCCATAATGGGCAGCTAACACACCCTCATTTAAGAATCAGCAGCTAGAGCAGATGCTGAACAATTTCTTTTTTGTCTGCCTTCCTCCAGCAAAGGAGGTGGAAGGGAGGGGGGGAAGCATCTGATTTTCAGCAGAGTATGACAGTACTACTCCAGTGGTCATTAGCCACTATAAAGCCCTGACTGGGGCTATGGCAAACAGACCCACTTTTGAGCATTCCTCATGCTGTTCGAAGTGCCTTTCTGTACAGTGAGAGTATCTGAGCTAGCTAAATAAAGTGTAGGAAGCAATCTAGCCAAGGCAACAGAAAGCTCCACATACACTGATATATCCTGCTGAGCCACAATTAGTCTGCACAGAGCTCTGCTCTGCTTCAATGAACTGAGCTTGCAGCTCTAAGCTTCCTCAGAAACCTCCATGCTACACAGCAGTTCACAGTGTAGACATACCCTGAGTTTTAGCAAGCTTCAGGGCCAGGAGAGAACAGTGATAAAGAACTGATTGTACATTTCAAACACATAGGTGAGACCTAGCTACCAAATCATCACATAACATGCCATCAAATGATTAATACAAATTATCATGAAATGTGATGCATGTTCCCCATTCTCTGCAATTATTACAATGGCGTAAGACAGAATGTTTTTCCCTTTAAGTGAAGCTAGAGAAGCAGGAATATTACTGCTCAGAGTATGAGTTTTCGTGTACTTTTCCAAGTTAGTTTTTCTTCTAATTCTGTTGTGTTTTCACCCTTTGGAGTGAAATTTTCTTGGCCTGGTCTCTGCCCAAAAGGTGAAATAATGTTTGAATTAATGCAGTTCAACTATTTGGCATATGAAAGAAGAAAACCACTTTTACCATTATGAGAATTTTTTGCAACTTTTCCCTCTATCTCAGAAAAAAAAAAAAAAATCAAGCAGAGAGTTGAAATTTAGCATAGAAATGGCCCTCAGTAAGAAGAAGTGCTTTTGAGTGTTCTGGTGCAAATTGATTTTGATTTGACTGAGTCATGAACCTTTGAAATCTGCACTTTGAGCATGCAGAGTACAATTGGTATGATTTTTTAGCACTTTGAAATATACAGAGTGGAGAAGGTTGTACTGTGCATAAATACATAGCTGACAGTAAAAAATAAAGTAACCCATCAGCCCTTGCCTCATCCACTGTGTATCTTGTGATATGTGCAGCAACTGAGTTTGGACTCTAGAAGAACTATTGCTTCAATCATGCTGCCTCTAAGTCAGAAGCTGCACAGCTTCCAAAGCTTTCAGGAGGAGGAATTCCCTGTTGAGTTTCTTACTTCTGTGGGAAAAGGGTCATTTGAGTAGTGTCTAGACCACATTATAGATTTTTTTTTTATGTTTCTCCCACTCAGAAGCCTTAGGAAAGCTCATTAAAAATACATTAAGAGAACATTAAAGTTGCACATCTAGCCACTCAAAAGGCAGGAAATTATAATGTCATTCTATATGCACACACAATCCACATTTTAAAAATTAGTCAGTAGAGCTATGCGCATTGCAGGACTCAAGTTAGAATCTGGCCCAGAATATTGATTCCCCAGGAACACCGAGCTGTTCAGTCTATTAGGTGAAGCTAACTGAGCTCGTTAAACGGTAGCAAGCATGGGCAAGTACTCTCACTTTCAGCAATAACCAAGAACTAAAGGCTACATCCTCAAAGACAATTTTAGATCTACAACTCCCATTTAGGTACTGAAATCAATGGGAGGTAAGTGCCTGTATGCTGCAGGGTATAATATGAGAAAATCAGATCTATATGTATTTTAAAGGTCTCTAAAAACACATTTACGAAGGAATAAATGTTGAGGGTGTTATGGCTGTAGGTATCCCTGTACCTTATGGGTTTGCATTCCCTACTCTGCCACATATTTTCATATCATGCTGGGCAAATCACTTTATCAGCACCTCTATTCAGTTGGGAACATGACACGTGTCCCTGGGAGAGGGCCTCCACAAGTCCAACTGTTAACCTCTCGGTTCACTGTTTTTCGTATTCTTTGGAGATTAATTCCTAACTAAAGAACCCCTGTGAGTACCAATGTGTGATGAGGTAGTTCTCTCATCCAGTTTTGGAATAGTTGATAGTAATCTACTTAAATTAGCTCTAGAGAAAGGAAATACTCAAGAACTAGTGGGAAAATTACTTATTTCTGCTTCCCTGCCCTCCCCCCACCAATAGCTAGTGAAAGGTTTCTCCTCTATTTCCATTACCTAGCCATATTTCTGCAATTTGAAACATCTTTTACCCTCTTCTTTCTGCTCAGGCTAGAAGTGTGAGCATCATGTGATTTGCATCAGATGTAGCATCTACATAATGAGGCAAAGATCAAACACTCTCCTTCCTGGATCCAGACTTTTCGTTCACTTAAAAATTCCTTAACACTTTGGCAGCTAAAAATTGACACCTTCAATTTGATATGCCACTGTAGCTGCACCCCAAGCAAATCCAACTGGAAAAGCAATATCCTCTGGCACTGGCTGCACAGGACAGGCGAATACACAGCATTATGCAATGCTATGGAGATGCGGGCTTCATTTGCAGACATAGGTTTCTGGCTCAATCACTCTTCTACTTGTTACAAGCAGATTCTATACTGAAGACAAAAATAAACCCTGTGCAGCTTCACACACTGAAGGGCAAGCCATGCGCTTTGCATATCTCAGGATTAAAGCAGAGAGGTTCAGTCAGCTAACAGTGAAAGTGGAAAAGGCAGCAGTGAAAAAGCCTAGGGTGGTCATGGTAAAAGGGCTCCACCTGGTATGAAGCACTAGTACGCAGAACAGATCCCTGTTCCCCTTCACTTCCCTCCCACCCTCCAGCCAGAGGACTTTGTGAAACTTCTACTCAACAGAAATCCTTTAGCCACTAAAAGTCATTTCCACCCCTTTCAGTAAGCTTCAAAAACCAGCAGCACCTCCTCTTCTCTGGCATCAAATTTATATTTTTTTCTCTCCCAACATCAATGCAGTTGTTTCTCACTTTTCCTGGTGAGAAAGGATATTTTAGCCGCTACATGTTTAGCAGTGGAAACCAATGAGTAAAAGAGGAAAATTTGTATGGGAGTACAGACAGAACACCTATCTTTCTCCTTTAAAATCCCATGGATGCTCATTTTTTCTGGAGCAGCAATGACAACCTTATGGCATGTGTGCCAGAATCAGCATCTGCAAAACAGCCCTCAGGTCTCTTCCTCTACCTTCTGTCAATGCTGTTACTGCTCGCCTGTCAGCAGGCTGAGAAGGGAGCAGCAGCAGGAGGACGAGTCAGGGTATGACTGTAACAAGTGGGATGGACTGAAAGTAGTTTACTGTCCCTTCCCAGAAAACTGCAACACCTGGCACACTAGATGGCACTCCTGCGATTTTTTTTTTTTTTTTTACTTACAGGAGGTTTTTTTCCCCATTTATTATAATACCATATTCACACTGCTTTTGCCAAGGTCAGTATTTGCACTTCTTGGACTGCTAGGCAATAACGTATGATCACTACTATTTTTTCTTCTTGTCTACTTTCTTGCACTTTTTTGATTTTGAAACCTTTCTGGGTAAGGACCTACTCCTGCAAAGCATTATACACATAGGTGATATTTTCTTTGATAACAAAGATAAGACAAACCTTAACATATACAGAAAAAGCCACTAATACAGTTAATGCACATATTTTTGCCAGAAATACACACAATGAAAGAGTCAACTTCTCAGGAAAAAAAATCCATTGTAGAGATGCAGAGAAGCTGATTTAATTCCGAAGTGCACATTGCAGAACCAGACAGTGCAGATGCAATGCAAAATAAATCAGGCTTTCACAGCAGGCATGCATTTCCTCAAGTGTCTTTCAAAGGAAAGGTAAAAGCCCCTTGAATACAAAGGAACAAAGGGGGAAATGAGGCACAACATACCAACTTGTTCCCAAAACACATGCTGACACATGGTCTAGGCAAACATACATATCCTTTACATGTTTTATACAGATGATCAAAAATTGATGCAATGAACTAGTTAATGTTCTCTGGTTCAAGCAGCCTCCTCAGGCTTTCATTTGCAAGAAGGTAAGCATTGGACAGTTAACAATAAAACTCATCAGGGACACCTTAAATCATGATTAATAGGTATTAATGAACCAGAGTAATAATGCATATTTTTTACATCATTAAATGTTATTGGTAGGTACCTTTGAAAATGTAAGTGACATTAAATCTTTTCCCAGAAAAATCATACAATTCAATTTCACAAGAGATATAATAAATATGTAACTCAATAATAGGGGGAGAGGGGCAGACAGGAGATAGTAGCAATAAAAACCCAATAAAAAGTTTTATAAAAATGCTTAACCATAAAAACAAGGCTAAAAAGTGTCACTGCTGATTCCCTAGCAGGAATCAACAGAGACAGAGATGGGTTTTAGGAGAGATTGAGTGGGAGGAAAATATTCCATAAGCAGTCTGGGGAAGAGTGAACAAAATTTGCCTCAGAGGTTAAAGCAGATTCACGGTAATGAGATAGCAGGCTATGTCAGATAAGTAGGCTGACACTGAAAGATGCAGAGCTTCAAAATTCAGGGAAGCTGAGTTTATAGCAGCTAATCTCAAACTCTTCTGGCAACCCAATTTCTAGATTTGTGACCCCACTTCTGGTTGTATTTCTGGATTCATGAACCCACTCCTTGTTGCAGTAGCGGGACTTGCAATTGTATTTCCATTAGACCCACTGCATGTCATGGCCCTTAGGATGCACCCGCCTTCTAACTCTGATAATTTTCCCTATATCTGACAAATAACCTGACCCAACCTGAATTTCACTGTCCCGTTGTTTTGCTCAACACATATAAGTACAGAACCATAAGGGAACTCCGTTCTACCTTGAGGCAATTTTTTTCCAGACTAGGTTTAACGTTTTTACATTTGCACTGACACAGACTATACAAAACTAAATGAGCTCAAGCCAAGTATTCCGAGGAAAAATCGAGCGGTTCTTGGATATCCAAATGTATATGGATAAAGATATTTTTGGCAAGTCAATAAAGACCAAGAGTAATTGGCCCTCATGCTAAGGGTTGGCAACCTAACTTTATAAAATGCTAGGTATATTAAAGTGAAGGATGAACAGGCTTTGGTGTTGGGCCCTTAAGTTATGTGGGATTAATTATTATCAGAGGAATTGTATCTTGTCAAAATGAGTTTCTCCTGACTGAATCAATGTTTCCTAATGACATATTATAAATATGTTTAATAGTATTTACTACAGAGTTTAGAAATCAAACTTTGAAGGGGTTGTGAAAATTAAAATCTCTTTCCTGAAATTTTACACTGCAGAAACAGAAGAAGGATATAGCTGCTTTGGAAGCAAGACTGTATGTCTCTGAAACAGCCAAAGATAGAAGTTCACATATTCTGTGAGTTGTCTTTGAAATTGCTACTCATAAATTTAGCTTCCCTCCCTGGCAACATAATGGAACAGCTATTGAGAAAACAAATTTCTAAAACACTTTGAAGTCTGCCAGACAAAGTTGATTTTTCAATAGTAACACAAAATTAATGAATAGAGAGCAGAAGCTATACTGTCACATGTCTGAATTTTAGCAGTCTACTGTTTTCTTTAGGATATTTTAGCACTGAGCTTAAGGTGTTCTCAATTAAGTTACGGAGACAGTTTCCACCTTACACTGTGGCTGCAGTAAAGGACTCCTAACTTTGATCCTCTAAATTGAGCCCTAATTAGAAGCCTCTGCTGGATTGTTGATTAGCCTTTCTTCTCCCATCTCCAATGTGTCAAAATTCTGTTCCCAAACTTAAATCAAATTGGAAATGAACTATCATGTTCACTGAAATGAAGGGTGATGACAAACAATGAAGGGTAATGATAAACAATAACTTTGAAGGGAGGCATTTAGTGCAGTACACAAAGATTAGTATTACTTCTGATCTCATTTAATAGCTTCAATAATGAGCTAGAAGAGGGAGTAAATGGTACATTAATGAAATCTGCAGATCTATTAAACTAGGAGGAGCTGAGCACACTGCTGAAAATGGAGAAATAATACAAGGGGTCACGGGAAGATTAGAAACACAGGCAGAATATTGCAATGAGATGCAATTAGAAAACAGAAGAATAATATTTGGGTAAAAAAATCAACAGATGGTAACAGGTAAAAAATCTGGAGAGCTGTAATGCTGGAAGAGATTTAAAATTAAGAACATCAGGAAAACTAGGCAAGAATCTGTAACTGAACAGCAGAGAAAAACAATGAAATTTGGGCAAAACTACTAAAGAATAAGCAAAGAAGTAGTGACTCATCTTAAAGCAGCTCTACAACCACCAGGTCTCTTCTGCATTTAGCCTGGGCACTGGAAAAACAGACTATCAGTCAGATGGTTAGAGATTTTGCAGCTATGGAATTTTTTCCTGGAAGAAAATTTAAAAGTAAGTCATCCATTTAACAGAGCGTTGTCCTTCATGAAGTGAATGACATAACAGTGAGCCACTGGCTAAAAGACCGTAAAAGAGCATGAGACTGAAGAAATAAAATATTCTCCCACTGCTTCTGGTAATTGCATCATGCAGCTTGAATTTTTTTATATTGCTGAGGGAACTGCCGATGCAATGCCAGCTGATATAAGCTTTCCAATACCAGATATATGTGCACAATATCTTGGCGAGCTAAATCCAGTTGTGAGCAAGTTAATTCCAGCTGAGGAGCTCACACAAATTAATCTTGCTGGGAATAACTGTACACAAGCTATAGCAGAGTGCCAAACTAATGTTACATCGCTCCCTGTACCAGAGACAGTTTCGGCAATTCCGTGCAGCACAGCACTAGGATGTATAGTACGTATGTAAAGTGATATTCCATATTGGTCATCAGTCTTCAAAAGTCCTTGGTAGTTCTTGGCTGTTGAAGGCATCGTCCTTTATTGCTGAGTGCCTCCATACAGTATTTTTAAGTAGGCTTGGCCGCTCAGGAGTTTGTCACTGTCACTACATTGCAACCCAACACTGAGTGTGCAGAGAGCAGGGTGTTGATCCACAGCTTTAAATTTGCACACTCCAGTAGAAAACCTGGCAAAAGCCCTTTCATGTAAAACCATGCTCTATTCATTTATATCTCGGCATGTCCTGCCATTCCACGCTTCTGGATTTTTCACCTTCTAAGTGAACAATCTTAAAAACAATGAGCCATCATGCAAAAATGTCAGGATAAAAAAAAGGAGGATGTATATATGAAAACCAACATAAAAAATACGAGAAGCGTAGACAGACCCCCTGGTCCCTTGTGAATTTGTTTACTGAGACAGTGCCCCTTCACTGATGTTTCAGGGAGATCTGCCTATGTTTTCCAGAAATTGAGTTTCAAGACATTTGTAGAAACTACCTACTGGCAAACTTGCTTGATATGATTTTGCCAGGAAAAGATCTGCTGTACCTAATCAGGTTGGCTGCAACTGGTTAGAATGACACTTCTGAATGATTTTAAACTAAACCTGTTAACATTTTTAAAATAGAAGGCAAAGAAGTCTAACGCGTGTGTGAAAGCAGTATAGTTTCCCTATTTATGTCATAACTCTGTAGGCTATTTCACTACGCAGCTGAATTTTCAAAATTATGTAGATGATATAATCTTTGCTGCACATACCAAGTTCTGCTTTAAAACCAGTATGCCCCATTTCTGTACAGTACGTACACTTCAATATTCCAGCACCTCATCCAAGAGTTACCTCACTCTGGAACATCATTTAAGTGTCCATAGGAATACAAATCTAGAGGTCAAATTTGACTATTTTGAAAATGTGGGCCCAGTATCTGGTTGTTTTGATGCTTCTGAAACTTCTCTCTTGTTAACAGCTATATCATATTTACCCTTAGAAACCTCTCGCATCACTTGGGTTTTACTCCCGGGCGATTATATACGTGATGTCTGTACTATTCTCCCACTCTAACACTCAAAACTTACATATTTCCCAGCACAGCACTGATTTTTTTTTGCTTGCTTCTGGCTCCACATGCCACCACCAAGAAGAAGCCAAAGCAGGGCAGAGCTTGTGGAGAGTGTAGCCCCCACCTCATGCACACATCCACCCGCAGCCCCTGCTGCCATTGCATTCCCAGGAGGTAGAAGTGTGTGCTCCCATCACACCCCAGAGTGGGTAAAAATGTTGCTGAGGAGTTTGAATGCTTACAGGGACAATGAAGCTTTGTACTCACAGTCTATCAACCCTCCACTAATATCAGTGGAAATCACTAGCCAGTGTCAACCAAATTTGACAGAAAATTAACATTTGTGAGAATACATGGCTGAATGAATGGATAGACTGATATTGGTGTTGCAACTGATGGAAAGCCTGAAAAGTAGGTGCAACTAGAATATTAGGCACCAGAGAATATACTCAGAGGAGACACATTACAGATGCTGATACTATGGGATTTGCTTCAAGCAAGATGCATAAAAAACCACAAAAAAAGCAAAAATCAAAACCCTCAGATGAACCTGGTTTTAAAATTGAATGATCACAGAAGCACTTCTTTATTTTTTTCAATTCTATGCAGGTTTTCTCACCAAAACACTAATAACCTAGAAAAATTCTTAACACTATTTACTGTTTTTTTTTTTCTTTTCAAGGTTTTTTTATTTTTTATTTTAACACATACATAGAATAAACTAGGAAAGAATTCTGCTCACGCAGGCCAATTTTGTACTGGGGATATATTGACTAAACCAAATGATTTCAACATTTATGATATGTATTAAGTCCTGTAAAATCCCACATTTTGTTTCCAGAATTAGCTAGAAATAGTGCGACTAGTTTTTATAGCAGTGAAACTGTATCTTTCATTTTCTTTTCTTGCAGAAATGCTGTTTCTAATGTCACTGACTATGACTAATGACATTGACTATGGCTTTAGCAAATATGCTTGAAAAGCTTCTTCCACCAGTCAGGATTAAGGAATCCCATTATATTAGTGCATTTACATAAAATTCACTTCCCTATATCAGCAATATGGAACTATCTACTATTAAGCAGCAGCACACTATGAGAGACAGTAGTTGATATTACTTTTCAAAAGATTTGTGCTACGCCATTATGCTGTAAATATTTTTTCCTTTTGCAAGAAATACTATACATTGTACTCTTCATTTTTATCCTGCAAAATATTAGTGAACACTGCTTGCACCTGAAAAGGGAGATAAGTAGTACAGCAGTACTTTAATTTGACAAAGTAATCCAAATACCTATTTGGAATTCAGTAAATACAGGTTATTTTTCAAACAACTTGTGCTTTATATATATATTTTTGGTCTTCCAAACAGTATTACAAATGTGCGGTGATGTCTCAGGATTATGTTATTCTGGGAATATCACAAAACATGTACCTGACCCTGAAACTAAACTAATAGAATCAAAAGAAAAAAATCAATACAACTGTTTAACATGGCTCTCTCTTGCTTGATTTAAACACATAAATAAAAAAAAGATTAAAGGATATGGCAGGTATAATGGTGCAGCACTGACCTTTTTATCATCACAGAGGCTGTCTGCTTAACAAAGAAGTCACACAGATGAATACAGTACCTCATTCAATTTAAGCCCTTTAGATCTTTCCTCATGTTTTAGCTTGGAACAGAGAAAACTGAACAGTTGCACAGTGTAGATGAAATCACACACATTTTCCTCTTCTGATGAAACACTAAAGAATTTTATAAGCACACAACAAAAAAGTGGAGTTTATGGGTAAGCAAGTCTGGTTTTGTATCCAACTCCTTTGTATCTCTCTCTCTTAACTGCCTCTTTCAAACTAGGCTGGTGAATAGATCTAGTAATGGTTGTTGTATTAAAGCTTTCAGCTGTTAAGTGATCGATATTCAGTAGAAGGCAACAGCTAAAGATGTGAGGATGTGAAGGCTGGGTGAACATACATACTGAGCTCTCAGAAATGTTTCTAGTTCCTTACATTCCCATGGAGGCTTGTAGAAAAATAGTGGGTGTTCATGTAATTAAAAGACTATTATCATTATCTATGACATAGATTGGTATGGGGGACACAAAGGCAACCTTTTATTTTCTAGTCTTTGAAAAGTGGATTCGGTAAATTACCATTATTTTAGTAGAATACATATAGCAGTTTATTAAATGTATTTAAAAACTGTCCGCTGGTGGTGCTGCTACCCACATCACTTCCCTCTCAGTCTGAGCCAAGGCAAGAAGTTGTAGCAATAGAAAGCCGTTACCTTTTATGTGGACTATTACTACAGCTTGTCATTGGTTTCAGTTATTTGTTTCCTTGCCAAAGATTGAGTAACTTTATGTTGAGTTCCAAGTTCTGCAGTGGAGTGTGCTCTACTGATTATAAATTATTTTTATACTCTGCTTGTGGCCTGCATTCCTGATCTTAGTGTCTGCGTTTTTTTTTAAAACAACCTCTGGCAGCAGTAGGAAAATGGCAGGGAAAGTTTTGTTTGGCCTCTGAACTCTAGCATGCAACCTGCTCAGTTTCTGCAGGAACGGCCCAATCCAGTTAATGCAAAGAAGCTGAGAGGAGCTGAAGCGCTCTCTAAGTGGACTGAATGTTTGGCAGATTACACAACCAAACTCTAACAAGTTCTCCACTGAGCTTATTTAAAGTGTATTTCTTCCAAGGCTTATTCTGGGTCCAAATTTTAATGAGCCTTGACAGACGTGGCAAGAGAGGTATGCTGACAAGCATGTGTCATTGGTGTCCCAATTTTGATTTGCTCCTTCAGTGTCTGGACATGCTAAAGCTATCTTGTTTTCTTCCTGCAAAAATCTCATGTTTCAGACACCTCTGATCCATACCTGGACAAATTTGAGCCTGAAAAGAAGAAGGCAGTCAGACTTGCGGTCCAGAACAATGAGGAACAGATGCAATAGTTATTAGAGGTGTTAGCTGAAGTATTTGCAAGAAAAAAGTCTAGTTCTTACTTTGCCTAAGTCAGGTTAGAACGTGCATTTCTCACTAACCAGATGAGTGTCCTAAGCAGCACGTATTGGCTATCCTGCACTGAACTTACAAATTCCTCTCCGTTTTGTGGCATTCTGGATATCTTATTGATAAAGAGTGTATCACAACATTGCATTCTGACAAAATATCTTGGTTCTAATGGATCTGTCAGGTTTCAACAGTAAAAAAAAGAGTCATAATAATCTCTGCTTTTTAAACCCCATCTTTCCATATTCACTGTTTTCTTCCTTTTAAATGTGTTAGTGTGGAATTCCTCAGAGTACAGTGGAAAAATGAAAATTCTATCATAGCTCCAACAAGTAAAATACAAAAAAGATTCCCATTTTGGACTCTATATGGACACAGCCTCTACGAACAAAATCAACACAAGGTTTCCATTAAAGTCATTGGAAGTTGGATCCGGTCTTAGATTTCATCAAAATAAACAATTTAATCAACCTGAATGAAAGGAGAAGAAAATATAACACATGAGTGGTACCCAAATTTTTTCCTTCAACAAAATGTCTTTTTTCATATAACTGTAACTGATATTTTACAAGGTGTTTTCTCAGTCTGCTTTCAACATGGCTGAACTTCCGTTATGACAATGGAACGTTAAATGGGTATTGCAAGACTAGGATTTTTTTCTTTCACAATGAAGATTAGCTAACTCCTCATTAACATATGCTATATATACGATTTCTAAGGGTTTTCTGAAGACTGCAGGTTCTGTATTACTCTTGCAGTTACAGCAGAGTCTTGGATTGATGCCTAGAACAGACCCAAGATGTGTATCTCTCAGCATGCTTTGTGATGTGCTATTGGTTATAAAGCTTGCAATTGTTATACAGCTGGATTAGTGCCTTAAGCATACCTTTGCCATTCAAGGAGAAGGTTTAAACAAAACAAAACCTTTGTTCTCCTAGGAAAATTTGATGAGAATGTCAGC